GGATCAACCATTGTGCACTCGGTACATCTTGGAAACACTAAGAGAAGAAGAAGAATTCGGCAGAGCAATTGAATGGGGAATATTTGAAGGAATACTACCCTAACGTTTGGATTAATACTTGACAACCAATTTGCTCGATTAGCCGATACCAAAAGGGTGTCGCTTCTGGTACGAAAATGAACCCAGAAGGGTAAAAGTCGGTGCAATGTGTATCGCCCGCAGGAGCAAAGCAAACATGGACAGAGTGATGCATATAGTATGAAGTACGAAATAAAAGGAAAAATCACTCAAGATAGGGGAATTGTTTGCTAATATCACCTATTGCAAACTACGGGCCGAAAACACTTTGGCTATTATATCATCGGCCTGGGAGATGAAGGTTACAGAGTTGGCGGCGTCGGAGAAATCCTCAACCAGGCTCTCATAATCTCTAGGGTATCTGGTGACTAGAGCTTCATGAGGAAGAAGCTGAAGATCGTGATTGGAGTAAACTTGTGCAGCGGCCAACGCCATAGCAGCGCCATGATGAACGCCTTGAAGGGCGACCTCCCTGACACGATTCGAGATGTCATGCAAGTGGACCACTGGAACGGCACCCCTAGCATTGACGAATCCTGCCGCATGGTCAGCGGCCAAACAAAGGCTTTCCAATGAGCTGATAGATCTAAAGAATTTGAGAAGAGGTGAACAGGATCTTAGAGAATAAAAGTTGAAAAAGAAATAGAAGATTATGGTAAATGTCTCACCAGCAATTCTAGCTTCAGCCTTGGCCAGTCTCTCCCGCACTAGGTTGGCCTCAAGAGGTGATCGGCCTTGGATTATGGCCAGAGCTGACTCTGCAATAGAGAGGCAGTCGGCAAGTTTCTCGCCGGTACGGTCAATGGAAGCGATTAGGTCATCGTTATCTCTCGACCTCCTCGGGTAACAGGGGAGCTGGCGATGAATTGGTACTGAGGATGACCCCAAAGGCCGAGTGGAGTCGGCCCTCTGCTCTGGGATGACGGGAGCATCGCAAGTGGCACCCTTCTGACGGTGGATGCGCTGGCGCGATGATGCAGATCCATTGAAGGGCCTCCTCAGCAGATCTCTTGCTATCCTCCATCATCTCAAATCTATGGAAAAGCAGAAGCTATACTAAGGATACATAAGGTTTGAGACGAAGCGAGTTGTTGTTCAACCCACGGCCGTGGCCCGTATATATATAGCCCAGGAAGGCGAGAAGATAGATTTCGCCAGGGGTGTGAATTTGGAATCAGAAATGGAAGCGGAACAACACTCCGGAATTCAGGGGACGGATAATGAAGAGATAACAGATTCGAATTTATTGCTTCCCCAAATTACAAAATATCATGAAATGGATTCAAAGATTTTACATCGACCAGAGATCAACCTATCAAGGCTTCTTTGGATTGAAGGGAGTTCGGGCCCCCACAAGGCCAAAAGTCATCGTGAAATGAATCGACATTGGCCCATTGATAAAATTGTGCCCGAGAAAAAGAAAATCGCCCACCTAGCATGTGCTCAACCGATTTCTCGGTAAATCGAGAAACTATGGGAAAGAAGCATGTGGCTTTCCTGGTGGGCGTTTAGTGGAACAGACAAGGAAAAGGTCTCCACACATTTTAGCCCTTGCAAACACTAGAACAGCTCTACGAGCATGGTGAGAAGACACAGGTGATGTCACAAGATTTCTTCTAGCCACAGTAGCTGATTCTCTTGCTCGACAAGGCGCTAGAATGAGTGACACAATCACCCTATGCACAAGAATTCTTCTAACCGCTCAAGATCTCAATAGCAGAAGGATAGACCATGGAGGGTCCAGCGGAGTCGAAAGCACTCGAGGAGGCAGGTAAAGGAGAAACATGGCTGAATTGTTGAATTGCTCTCGCCAGGATCGGATAGGCATTTTATAGCCGGTCTAGGAAGATGAATACAAGTGCCCGTGAAGCAGTGACGTTTTTTGTAAAAAGTTTTGAGGCATAGGATCATGAGTGGATGCAAGCAGTGACAAACAGTGGACCTCGGATCAAGGTTCTCTACCCGTGACTGTGGACCAATCAGGGATACATACATGATAATTTTAGAATAAAATTACTTTTATCCCAAAATTAGGGGGCATGTGTTTACACCAAAATTTAGAAGAAGAGTCACAGGGACTCGAAAGCTCCCAAGATCATGTCATCAATGAATCAATTGCGTGCAGCTGATTCGGATACGAAAATTAGAATCGGCTTTCTTCATATAGCGTCAGCGGATAACGACAAAGGCTATGATTCGGCGCCAAGACGAAACATGCTGGACTCTACAAAAAGGGAAAGATTAGAGTTCAAGTTATCTTATTGCTTATTGCTTTCATTATTCATCTAATTACAGCAATATCACTCTGCCCGATTGGGATTGATCTAGATCGGCCTTATATCTTGTTTAACCCATCGTTTGTTAATCTGAATTGATCTAATCTGGACCTTAAACGATGAGTTATGTTTTATCGGTTGTTTTATGTCAATCCTGATCGTGCATAGCGTGTGGTTAAAGCGTGTTGCGTCTTGAGTAGATTTATTGGATAGCGAGAACCGTTTTATGGCCCGTTATAACGGCCTGTGTGATTCTGCCTCACACCCACTGTTAGCACTGTGGAGTAGGAACCGTAATATGTTAGATTTATTTATGATAAGGCATGACTTTAACTGTGCGCTATGCCTGAATCGGCTGTTTTAGTCGATATCGAGCGCTTTCACGAATAGTTCGCATCACGAGACCGATGAAGTAAAGATAGGTTGAAAGATACGTTAGCCCCATGATCTTATTATTGTATTATGACCTGCATGATTTTGCCTCATGCCCCACTGATATTAGTAATGAGTTAGGGTCGTCGAATCTATTGTTATTTCTACGGCCTGCATGATTCTGCCTCATGCCCCACTGGTCATAGTGATGGATGAGATCTAACATGTTCATTAGATTTATCTTTATTAAACAGTTAAGTGATGTTGAATTGTTTCTTTATATAAAAAGGGGTTCGGTTACTTATAATCATTGGCTCAGCACACACCGATCATTGTTGATATCTTATTGCCATTGATTAATATCTGTTCGATCAATGATATTTGCCCTGAATAATAACCGATTCTTCTTATACAACCTAATAGGCTTTAATCGACTTATTCTCATGAATATGCTGGAATCGACTATTTAGTCGATCTCCTTTCATATCGGCTCTCATAGCCGCACATTCGGGACTGTCTGGCAACACCAGCAAGTTTCGCCCTTAATTACCGATGAAATTTCTCTCCTTGTCAATTACAGGGTCAAATTGATTGGCATGTCTCGGGAGGAGTGCGCAGGATCGACCACCCTTGTGCTGAAGCTGGGCGGATCTGCTCCATCGAGTGGACCCTTCCGTCTTGCTGCGTGTGTCCTCGACACGGGACAAAAATTCTATGTCGACACACGTTTCTGGCACGCCCGGTGGGACCCCACAATCATCATGGCGGTTCACAACAACAACGACATCCTTATATTGCATTATGAAGATCTACTTGATGGGGATAAGTGTGTCATCAGTAAAGCTATAGAAGTGTTTCAGAATAAATGTTTGTTGTCCTACACCAAAACACGTGACAACACAATTGTTCTCAATTAATCTTGTACTCCCTCCGTCTCAAAAAAATGATGTTTTATGATTTGAAATTTGTCTTAAAAAACAATGTTCTGAGTTTTAGATACGTGGTTACCCCACATAAGAATCCGTCGCATGCGCAACAGATCTGCCCCTTTCCTTATCCACACGCATGCGCCGAAATTTTATTTTCCAGCCGCACAAGATCCCCTACATGCTTGCATGCAGCGCGTCTTAATTAGGGAAGACTAAAGCACGAGACATCTCTTCTTTTAAGGGAATCATGTGTAACAAACAAAGGGTATTAGGGATATTTCTCTTCTCCACTAGTCTATCTAAAAAATCCTAAAATATCACTTCTTTTTTGGGACGGAGTGGGTACTTCTAAACCCTCTTAGCGAACGTGGGGCTCCTTTTGATTTCATTGTATTAATAGAATAGATATATTCCATGACAATGCAACATATCAAAACAATGGTAATAAGATCTTTAAAAAAATCATGGTAATAACTAATTTGACATGTATAAATATACCTAATTCTTTTACAGATCACAGTATGCAAGATGCTTTGAAGTTACAAATATTCTATTCCCTATCTACGCAAAAAAAAATGCAATGTAGCGAAAGACAAATAATTAACTCATAATAAATTGTTCGCCATATATTTGAGCTAAATACCAAACCCGTGTGCCAACAAGCAAATCCTTGTTCTCCTGTCAAAAAAACCGAACAAAGGCGAGGGTTCAAATTCTTGGGTTCACTCCATAGAACAAAAGTAAAGATACTTCCTTAATGAACCAAGTCTCTTTGTGAGCAACTCCACAAACTCCGAGTTTTTGGGAGCTGCTCCTCCTGAGCCCTTGTGTGAAGTCGTCCCCCACCCCCTTAATGAACCAAGTCTCTTATGAGCAATCTTTATTTGAGCCCTGAGAAGTCGTTGCCCACAGGTCCGATGCCGTGTCGCCTACTCCACCGTCCCCGGTGAGACCCTTCCCCCGACACGGCTCCCTCAAGCTAGGCTCCGTCGACGGCCCCCCTCATATATTCCTCTTATGATTAATCTGCAGTTTCTCAATCATATAAGTCTCGTTGGTTTGCTATCCGCTTTTCAGCCTGTTCGCTAGTTGATTTTGGGGCTGATAAGCCCGATTGGTGCTGGTCTGTTGTGAGAGAAAAACACTATTGATTAGCTGATAAGTCTTACCGTGCATGTAACGTTCTAGCTAGCTTCTGCCCGGCCGCCGGTTCCTATGGCCATGGCGGCCTCGGCTGGAGATGTTGATCTCGGATCAGCGCCCTGCCGGACGATTTGCTTCACCTCATCCTGGGCTTGGTGTGCGACGCGAAGTCCGTCGTTCGCACGGCCGCGCTGTCCAGGCGATGGCGGCGCGTGTGGATCTATGCGCAGCAACTGGCGCTATTGGGCACCCAAGTGAGACCCGACGCTGATCCAGGCCAGTTCGTGGATCGGGTGTTAGCTCAGCGAGGTGATGCTGATATAGGATCTCTCAACATCAGCATGTCCAGATGTTCGCTCGTGGACATCTCGCAGGAGAAGGTCAACGAGTGGCTCCGCTATGCCATGCAGTGCGTCGTCAAATCTTTCCGTCTTGACCTCCCAAACCCAAGGCACAGCATGTTCAGGCCATGGCCACCCCTCCGGGTGGATGGACCGGCTGTCGTGTTGCCCGACCGTGGGAGGATGGCGTCCATCGAGATGTTTCTACCATCATGCTACAGCTTCCAGCTTCCGGTGGCTGCGTCGGCCAAGTACGAAGCGCTTACAGATCTCATGCTCTGCAGTGCGTCTTCCTTCGACGGGGAGTCCAGCGCCGGCGGCGGGCGTACACTCGGCGACTTTGTGTCGTCGTCCTGCTGCCCTCGCCTGCGTAAACTTGAGATCTCCTCCATCAAAGGATTGGCCCAGCTTGCCATCTGCTCCCAGACGCTCGAAAGGTTTGAGCTTGAATCTGCAAATGACCTACGAGTGCTGGACGTAACCGCACCCAACCTTCGCGTCCTCGAGCTACATGACTGCTGCTTTGGCGATGAGAGCAATAACAAGATCAGAATTGTGTCGTCGAGGCTGCAGGAGATTAGAATACGCCACGAATCGAGGCATCGCCGTCCGTACCTGGTGATACATAACCTAACAAGTGTTTGCCGGCTCGATCTTGAACTAAACATGCACGGGCAATACTATGTTCGCAGCACGGACGTTGGTTTCTGGCTATTGGAGAAGTGCCCTAGCGTTGAACACGTACGCGTGTGGCTTGATCATCTGCGGTCGCCGCCTAGCAGTGTCATCGAGGGTGACACTATTGCTGATTTGACGTTGGAAGGCGTGGCGCCATTTGCCAGTGTTAGGAGCATGGATATGACCGTGAGAGCACATCAGTTTCAAGATTACCAACTAGTGCCAAGTATATTTGCCCTGCTTCTGAGGTGTCCACGCCTGAGATCGTTGCGTATCAACATAAAAGATGATACAGCAAGCTGGGTAAGTTTCTTTAAATTAAAACTATATCTAATTACTAGCTATTTCCCATGGAAAACACAACGAACACCCATATATAGAGAGAGAGTACATTATTATTGCAAACTACTAAACACGCCTTGCTTCGTTTCTTTACTTCGTTTTTTCATCTACAGGCGAGAAGTTGGACGTGCTCCTTCTGTGATGAGCATCAGTATTCATGGACAGATCACCGGTCGATCTCCTTGGAATCACTAGAAGACGTGGAAATAACCGGTTTCAGAGGAGCGGATGAGGACATGGACCTTGTGAGATTGTTATTTGCAAGCTCGACGAACTCAATCAAGAGCATGACTTTAGACAACATAACTAAGACTTGCGGTCCCGGTACGGTTTCTTTGAAATGGATGACGGCAGACCAAGATGGTAATGGCACGGAGACAATTCATCAGAAACTAATGAATATACCTACTGTTGATCGCGGGCGATGGCATTTTGGGGAGACCATATACACTTGGACGTCCTATGCAACAGAGAATACAACACCAGTTAATGGTGACGACGCCAATTCTGCCAATTCAGCATAGAGATAGGCATCTATATAAGTATTCGGCAGAAAGTTAATTGTTATTTCACAAACTGTATTATGTGAATCAAAATAATTTCTGGTAAATGTATGACTCAGTTCTCAGTGTTACATTGTTTAATACACCCAAGCCAGGGGTGGATTTAGAAAAATAAGTTAGGAGGAGCTTCTCCCATTATCTTCCATCTCCAACCCCTTCTTTCAAGCTTCCATAGGTACCCATTTGTGGGGAGCGTTTAGGAGGAGCTCCATGCTTTGAGTAGTGGTTGTAGAGACTCAAGCGCACCTTGCCCGGTGCTAGATCCGCCCATGACCCAAGTTGAATGTTAAAAAAGGAGCTAGTGTTTGAGAGTCGTTAATATTAGTCGAGCTTCCATTCATGGGGCTTGGTTCCCTCAGTTTGTGCAGCGTCTCCCCGGCCTCTTCCTTAACCCCAACGCCACCAGGATGCCTCAACGCCGTGGGCCGCCACCGCTGCCCTTGCCAATGGCCGCTGGGCGCACGTGCCGCGGCACCTCAGGTCGTCCCTGGACGAGCCAAGGGCACCACGAGAGCAGCCGATGTTGGTGGTGCTCGTGCCCGCCGGCTCCTAGCCTGACAGCCGGAATCGACCGACCCTAGCCTCCCCTCCGTCGGCGGTGCCGTGTTTCAAGTGTTTCAGATGTTTGTTTTTAAGTGTTTTATGTGGATATTGCATATGTTGCAATGGCTATATATGCATGTTGCAAGCATATGTTTCAAGTGTTTCAGACGTATGTTTCAAGTATTTTATCTGAATGTTGCAGAAGTAGATCTGGATGTTGCATAACATGCATGTTGCAAGTGTATGTTTCATGTGTTTCGGGTGTTTTATATGTATGTTGCAAGTGTTTCATCTGGATGTTGCAAAAGTAGATCTGGATGTTGCATGTGTTTGCAAGTGTTTTAGACGTATGTTTGCGCGTGTTTCAGCTGTTTCAGATATATGTTGCAAGTGTTTCATCTATATGTTGTAAAAGTGGATCTCGTGTTGCATATGTTGCAATATGACCCACCTATCGCAGCTGCCTGCTGCAGCCGCTGAGGCGCCGCCATGGGTCACCGTGTGGTCGCCTGAGGACGGCAGACACATCCACAACACGCATCCATAGGCGGAGCAGGTGACTGGGACCCACGTGGGTTCTCACGTGCCGACGCTGCGGTCAGGGTGGGAAGGAGCGTGGGCAGTCCCACGTGCAAACGTGAAAACAGAGCGAGTGTGACGGTCAGGGCGAGGAAGCAGCAGGGGTCCATGTGGCGGGTCGCAAAAACAGGCGGCGCGGGCTCCTTTTGCGTGGGGCGCGGTCTCCCGCCTATTAGCACGAGCCACGTCTGGACGTGGATGTCCGGACACTAGTTATTCCAAAATAAAATGCCAAAATAAAATAGTAACAAATGTAAACTATAATGTATTGCATAAAAATGAAGTATATTATTATAGACTGGTTGAGGATAATAATAAACGATCAATTAAAAGTAGAACATTAAGTATATCTTTTCTTGATTCGCCGATCACAAGAGGCAAGAAGCACGGTGAACATACGTAGAAACACCGATTGCCATGATTAACTATTGAACTACGTATTAGATTTAAATTGGACCTTTTAGGCTTCAGAAACGCCCTTGGTCTATGTCTTTGTACATGTACGACGTACAACGAAACAGACACGTCTCTTTCCAGCGTCGTCGCCGATTCTCGCCAAGACGCCACGCGCAGTCCGTTGCCGCACGCCCGCAGCCCCGCACCCAGCTCTTCCCAGCGAGGTTTTCGATGATAACTCAAGACGTACGCTCCCGCAGTCCCCAGCTTTCGAAATCTCAGCTGCCATTGTTTAACGTCGCTCGCCCTCCTCGCGGTGCTTTGTTTATTTAACAATTTGGATTGGATCTGTTCTGGCCAGATCTCCGGGCCGGCTCCAAGAAAACAGATTGGGAAGACGCGTATGCGCTGAAGGACCCAGCTGGGCAACATGCATGCATGGGAGGCCATTAGCTATTTGACTCCAAATGGTACAAACCTGTTTTTTAAAGAAAAGATGGTACAAACCACGAATTTCTATCTCTGCCAAGAGCTTATACTATACTATAACAGTTCTTGGACGGTGCCATCGTCACCTCCGTACACTCCGCACACTGCACCCCCAATCGTACAAGCGAGGAGATCGCGTCTGACTCTGACGTCTCTTGGACTCTCACACACACGGAGGCCATGTGAGCTGATCGCCTTCGGTAACCACCCAGACAGCTAATCGATTCTGGGTTTGGGGTGATCTCAAATCTGATTGGACAAAGCAGAATCGGCGATCCGTTTTGCCCTGCACCTGCCCGAGGTCCAGCACGAACTGCTGATTCACTCTATCATCAGTGGAGGGACCCGCGTCGTCATCATCTTTTCGAACACCGTTTCTATAGTCTGATGAAACTGCTCGCGCGTTGTACGTGTGCAAGTTTGTTTTTGCGATCAGCGCTGCTGTCCACCACGTGTAGTTCGCGCTTCCTGTGCGCTGCTGCCGGATGGACACGGCGCAGAGAGAGCCGTCTCGGCACCTTTCTCCAGCTCCCAAGGTATAGTATATATGTCTGTTGACAGATTTTCTATGGTCACCGACGCCGGCTCCCGATCCGTCCTGCGTCGTCGTGCATCCTAACGCCCTCCTTTCCCTGCTTGTGGGCTTGTGGCTGCACTCTCCTTCTCCAAATCCCGGTTCTCCTTGGTTTGGTCTGCGGATCTCGCGAACTCTAAGCGCGAGCGGGCGAGCATGGCGTCGCGCCGTCGTCGGTCGCCGTCTCCCCAGTCTCTGGAGGGACGCTCAACCCCGAGCAGGAGCAGCTTCCCAAGACATGGCCCTCGTTTAGTTCGGCAATCGGCTGCCGTGACGAGGGAGCGCAAGCGTCAACCCCGACCTGCAGGATTTCGCAGCTTCCCAAGTTTGCCATCTTCTTTTTGTATAGTGCCAAATTCTGGAAATTGGGGGAACTAAACAGGCCCATGTAAGCTTAGCAACTTCCAATCTTTCATCAACGCCGCCGCCTTAATCTGGCAGCTCAGCTGTGTTCTGCACTAACTGCATGCACTGCACTAGTAGTACATGACAACGAAACATGATGCAGCTCAGGCAGAGCGCACTAGCTCATTGTTTCCGTGTTCCTGTCCCCGCAGATCTCGCGAGGGCAATGGTGGCGGTGGACGCGGACCATCCGAACGGGACCGAGGGCTGCGACCCCCGCGGCATGAGCGTGCTTCAGCAGCACGTGGCCTTCTTCGACCGCAACGGCGACGGCATCGTCTACCCCTGGGAGACTTTCAAAGGTAGGTGACCCGTGACCACCACCTGATCGATCGAATCACCCAAATGACATAGCATGCATGTTTTCATGCTGGTAAAGTCTGTGGACAGCAGAGCAGAGCCGCATGCAGAGCAAAATCGTCTTCTCTGCCGGCGGTAGTAAATTAGTAATCGATCGACAGGAGAAGATTATTTCATCGATTCTGCTGTTGCAGTTGCAGGGATCCTTTAATTTGCTTTGCCTCCATGATTTTCAGGCATGCGAGCAATAGGGTGTGGGTTCATTACATCCCTCGTTTTGGGGTTCTTCATCAACCTCGTCATGAGTTATCCCACTCAGCCGGTAACGTTTTGGGGTTCTTCATCAACCTCGTCATGAGTTATCCCACTCAGCCTCCATGATTTTCAGGCAGCAGCTTTCCTAGACTGCTCATCTAGTTTTAGACATGGACCTCTACATGTTTTATTTTGGCTGTTCGGCAGCAGCTTTCCTAGACTGCTCATCTAGCTTTAGACATCCTTTTTCTTAACGAACAAGCAGGAGGAGGCCATTTTTTTGTTCTTTATTTTATATTTTTATTTATCCCTTTTGAATCCAAAGTTTTAATAACAAAGTATGTGTAACTAGATTTTCAAGAAGTAATCCACTGTGACATCTATGTGCTTGGCATGACTCCCACTACAAAAAGAAACAATTTTTTTTGGAGAAACTGAATTTTAATGTTATAATAAGCCTATTTGATCCATGGTCTCTATAGATCATCTAAAGACCTAATGGTCAAGATCCACCTTTATAAATCCATTTTTAGAGTCGGGTCTCTATAAATGAGGGTATTTTCAAAGGTTGTTATGCAAAACAATTCATAAGTTTTCAGATAAAGTTTGATGAAGACACATATTACATCAAAGTTGTAGGGCTCCATACGATCGATAACTTGTAGTTAACAACTTTTATATTTGAGAAGGTTAGAGGCCCAATATTCATTTTAAGTTCTCAAACTTTGAAATAGTTTTTTTTTCAAATGACCTTATTGGGTATTCACATGGTCTATACTTAAGTTGTACCTCTCAGGTCGATATAAAAACTTATAGTTAACAAATTTTTTGTTTGAGGTTTGTTTAGAGACCTGATATTTACTTTAAGTTCTCAGATTTTTAAATTCAAAAATATGGATTTTCAAATGGCCACTTTGATGTTTTGATATCTATATCAAAATTGTAGTTCTCGACACAATCTATACCAAAGTTGTAGGTTTTAGATCTATTTAAAAAAATAAAAAAATGAGACCAGCATGTGAATCCTATGTTTTGGTTCCATATCATCATGCAATTAATGTGTCATGTAGATGGATTAACTCAAGTTTTGGTGATTTTAATCTCAAACGACATGATCATTAAGTTTAGCAATCTAGATATACATTTTGGAAGTTTGGACACCTAGATGGTACGCTGAGCTAAGTTCAAAGATCGGTGGCACATTTTACTAAAACAGAAATGTTCTTTTTGAATGTAGGGATGGTTACCCTCCCTTTAGATCTCCGTCCATATAAAGAACATCCATAAGGCTAAACACGGGAGTGATTCTGAAACGTATGACACGGAAGGGAGGTATGTCTTGCTTATTCTCTTCTGAAAGGCCACAATTTGAATTCATTCTCGACATAAAATTTCTTAACTAGTTTTTAACTTGATCTTG